GAGGTCGTCATACCGTTCATGGGTGATCGACTGCTTTAACTTGTGGGTGGTCATGAATTTCACGTTGTTGATTGTTGCATCGTCGCCTGCGCCGATGATCATCTGGATGGTACGGGTTGGTGAGGGCGAATTTAGGCGGCCTTGATGTTGTTCTCATCCGCGAGCGAAGTTCGCTTTTCCTTGGTCACTCATCAATTCTCTCAAATGCCCCTGGTTGAGCATATTTACTACCTCCTATTCAAGGAGATGTAGTCCTCGGTCTTATGGCCTCGCTACTGATGGAATTTATAGAGGGCATTCGACTTTCTAGTGTTTGGGTCGTACTTCATCTTTTGTGGCCATTTCACCTTAGGTCCGAGCTTCTCTAGAGCGTAGACTATCTCTAAAGGAGAAACACAGAAGTTATGAGCAGATAACAGTGGGGGCATACCTCTTTCATTTCGGTGAGTCCCTGTTTGTGGCCTAGGTGAGTCGCTACCGTGGCGGGGGAGTGTACGACGGCCGCTCTGGAGTAGCGCTGGTGTCTTTCGCGATTGAGGCACGGACCTGCATGATCCCATCTATTGTCGTTTTTGCGATCTTTTCTCGACTCCATTTGGACCGACGTCAACCGTTGGGTTGGACCGTTAAGTTCGTCCTCATCCGCTCTCACCTCAGCACAATAAGCATTATATATTTCTTCCTAAGTGGTGCGAGGGTACTTCATGAGTCTGTTCAACAGTTTTTTGGTCGCCCTCGACCCGCTCCTGTTCTGCCCGTTTTGGAAAGCTGCTACTGCCATCCTCTCCAGTACATTTGGAAGGGTCGTTCTCACTCTGTTGAACCGCGCGAGGAAGTCCCTGAGTCCTTCTCCAGGTGGCTGTCTAATGGCGAATATGTCTTTCACCCTGGCTTCCGCTTTCATGGCCCCTACATGGGCGGTGACGAACTTATCGGCCATTTCTTCGAATGACTCTAGGGATCGTGCGGGCAGTTGCGAGTACCATGTTAATGCTCCCCCGATTAGGGTTTCACCGAACTTTTACAGCAATATCGATGGGACCTACTCTTTAGCGAGGTAGGTGCCTTTCACTGTGGTGACGTAGTAGATAATATGATCATCAGGGTCTGTTGTACTATCGTATATCTTCAAGTATGACGGCATATTGAATGTTTTGGGTATAGCATGTGGTACGGCCTTGTCTCTATATGGTTGTTCTATAAACCGGTTGGCGTCTTGCTTTGGTAGGAGTTTTGGGGCGCCCGGTATCTTATCTACCCTTTCTTGATGCTCTCTCATTTGGTCACGGAGTGCTTTGTTCTCGTTCTCCATCTCCTCTATTTTTCTTAGGATAGCAGCGAGGGCGTTATTACATGCATCATTAACATAGTGAATGATACCTGTCGAGGGAGGCAGGGTGTGTTGCTCATTGGTTGTTGTTGCGATGTCGACTTGCGCACCTTCTCTGCTCACCCTCTGAGCGGGTTTGTCGAGTATATTGCTTAGTATATTCGTTAGCCATGCTTCTAGTAATTTTTTCACCGCTGGTGGTGCTTCTTTCATCGTGGATGTTGAGGCTCCCTTTCCATGAGAGGCGGTAACGCTGCCCGGGGGGGGGGGTGAATCACTTCGTCTAGGTGAAGCGCTTGGTGTCACGTTCTCCTCGTCTTCTCCGTGAGTTCCAATGATGGTGTTTAGGAGATTAGTAGTAAGGCCTGCCACTGCTTTTAATCTTTCTTCTCCATTTCCTGCCATGTTAGATTATGCAAGTAGGGGAAAGAAAGTTCTGTATTTCATTGTCAGTGTATTTTTGTAGATCTAGAAAGACTATGATTTTGACTAAAAAGCTCCCCACAGACGGTGCCAATTTGTTTGACCAAAAAGTATAACACTCTTTGTTAAACTAATTAAAAGATAAATAAGGTGAAAGATGAATCCTAGTCAAGCATAATAATTCTTAGATCTAGCTAAATGTTTAAATGGTATCGCCTACTTAATGCGCGGAATCAGTTATCAGATTATTAAATGAAAGGTTTTGAGAATAAATGAAGAGTGGATGATGAGCAATAAATATGAAAATGACAATAAATGTAAATAGGAAGAATGATTCACCCAAATATTGAATGATATGGAAGATTCTTCCTCTTGACAACAAAGTGTGGCCAATAAGAAAGAAAATAGACAAGGCTTTCTTGGATCGTGTGAGTAGAAAGATAGAATAATCAACAGAATCAATCACTGTGGAAAGGTAACCTTTGTATTTTCTCTTACGAGTCAACTTTTTGCAAGAGTTCTTCTCAGAATGAGTCTCACTTGTCCTTTTCCCTCTCTCTCTTCTTCTATTTATATGGAATGTTCTCTAAAAAAACCCTAAAAAGTACAACAAAGAAAATATTCAAGGGAATATTCTTGTCGCTAGTTCCAAGACTACACTAGCCGTTATTCTTTTTCTTCGTTACTCGACTTTGGCTTTAATGACTTGCTCAGCGATTGCTCGTTATTGGGCTTTGATCGACCTCGGCCTGGCCGCCCAAGTTGAACCACAGTCTTCTCACTTAACGATCTTCCCACGCCCAATTTCCTAAGCCGGGTTTTGACCCATACAGAACTATCAGAGAAATTCTTGCTTCATATATAAGACTGTCGTGGAACACAATATTCCCGCACCCAAAGGTGTGGCCTAGTAGTCAATGAAGTTGATAAAAACCAGGAAAATTAAGGTTGAAATCTTAACAAAGAAAAGCAACATCAGCTGATTTCTTCTCATGTTTTCTTGCTTCAGTCCCAAACGTGTTTCAACCGCACTTCTCTACTTGTGTTTGCCTTAAATAGTCACACTACATATATAATCCTATACTAACTTGCTCTATACACCCTTCAATCTATATATAATATACTCTCTCTCTATACACACAAAATGGTCAGAGGCAGAGAAGGCAGCAGCCATGTTATTATGCCTCTTCTTTTAGCTATTTTGTTGAGTTTGCTATTCACTTCAGTCCATTCCCGTAACCTTTTGAAGGTCACAAATTATCATTCTGAATTAACACAACCTAATTTGTCAAATTCTCAGAATCATAGCCAAGACATGAAGGTTCCTCAACAACAACAACGTGAATCATCAGCTCTTTTACAACTTGAAAACCTCGAGAATTCAGGTCCAAGTCCTGGCCAAGGCCATGCAATGCACCCTGTACACTATCCACACCACTGATCTGCGGCAGAGCTCCATGGTTCAAAGAACGTTCAATTGAATCTCCTTCGACAAAAAAAATATATTTTGAAAATAAGATAAAAATAATCGAATCCATTTGACAAAAGGGAAGTTTCTAGTGCAGTGGCAAATGCATCTCAAAAATTGTGCCTACAAGTTGCAAGTTCAAGCATCTTTTTTGTCTTCTTATTAGAATTTCTGGTTCCGCCACTGCCACCTCAAAGTGCATTTTGGTATCTTGAAAGTGTTGTAGTTTATAAGTAATTATTTTTGTTTTCCTAGCTCTGTCATTTTTTCCCTGTAAAACATATCCATCAAATACTGGTGTGAGCATTTTTTGATTTTTTTTTTTAATTCTATCTTTTAATTTGTAACATGATATGAAAGTGTATAAGCGAAACGTCTAATAAAAAATTATTTTATCAAGCAAGTCGACGATAGTACATTTGGTTCAATTATCATGCATATTGCTTGTTCATGAGTAGATTATGCTTGCAAGAAATAGATGCAAGGTGCAGAGAAGTGTAAACAGAGAAGGGAGTGTAGGACTATGATACAGCAACATTATAATATAATTATTGTTTAATATTATTAATAATTCGTTAGATTTGTTATACATTTGCATACACCTTAATTTATGACCATGATGCTTCTGTCTTCTTTTAGTTATATTCACCAACATTGGCCCAAAGCTCGACCAATAACATCTTCTTTCTTGACATGCAACTAAAGTTTCTTGTGACTGAAGTTACCTGACATTTTGCTTTATGTGTACTTTGTAATGTTGTATCTAAACGAAGAGATCAATGACTTTGACTTAGCTCGTATGCTAAAGGGTGGTCATCGCCCGAAAAATTATTCTGTACATCTAGGTCAAATATTACTTTTTTATACATATATCTTGTAATTTTAAACAACCTCTGAACACTCTTAGCAAAAGTGTTGACTTTGCCACTGAGCAATACGCCAACATTGAAGAAGAAAAATATGTACCACAAACTGAAGTCATCTGTTTTATTCTTCTTTTTTTTTTGGTCACCAATCTGTTTTGTTCTTGCTACTTCCTGTGATTCAAGCCCTGTTACATAACCCCTGCCTGGCCAGCTACTCAAAGCTAATTTCTTATTTAAATTTTAAATGATTGCCAAAGAAAACAAAATTTAATCCCTACAGCGACATCAAATCCATTAACCAAACAAGATAAAAATAGATTTGAGAAAATCTTAATCTCACTTTTGTACATTCCCCTCGTTAAGAATCTCATTGACACTTCCACTCAACAACTCCAGCTATAATTCTATTCACAATACCAACAAGGCAACAAGCATGAAAGTTATTCTTCAATGATCCTTTTACCGCACTTTTTGTAATGTAATAATTAGCTGCAACATGTAATCATTGAAGTGGTGTCCTAAATCATTTCTTTTTCAAAAGAAGAGTGGCGTCCAAACTAGCTTACACGCACCTCAACTATTCTATCTGGATACCTTTTACCACAAAGGCAGGCAACTAATCGAGATTTAATATCCTAAATCTTTTTTAAGAGGAAGATGTGGAAATTTGACATAAATACATGAGGTCTACAAGTTCAACCTTCACTAAGTGTAATCAATTCGGGTATTTATACGCCTCGTTGATGAACCAAACCTCCCTTAGATGAAGTGCGACATGTCACAGAACAATAAGAACACATTGAAGAATATATACTCCTGCTATTCATTTACTAGTTACTACATCTCATGGAGCTTTTGAACATTGAGTTCAACCAAACCCCAGTACCTTCAACACAGAACAAAGATATACATGTAAAAGAAACTCAACAAATACTAAATTCTAAACTCACAACCTTAAAAGTACAATGAGTTCAGTTCTAAGTGCTAAAAACATTAAAGATTGAATTCAACAAGTTTAAATCATGGAACGGCATCTGCTACACCTACATCTTGCAGGTTTAAAGACCAACCGGTCAATAGTGTTTAATTAGACAATTCATTTCAAAGATGAAAAGGTATAGAGCTGCACATGCATGAGCTGATGAATAAATGCATGCATGTATGTATCAGAGCTTCTTTTACCTCACCACTTTAAGCTCCAACTCCTGTAAACTTGACATCTTAAATCTTCTTTTAAAACTGTGCTCCTTGGTTTTTTATCCTTCCCTCTTCATTGGACCAACAACTTACAGATCTCACTTGCTAGCTGGAGATGCTCTTCTCAAGGACCTCGGCGTCTCCCAAAGCAGAAGCAGCTCTGGCGTTGATCAACAGGGATCATCCCACCTCCCTTTGATGTGTCAATTGATTCCAACATGGACACCACTTCATCCATTTCTGGCCGCTTGTCAGCGCTAGCATCCCAACACCGCTTCATCACATTTGCCAAAGAACTTGGGCAACAACGAGGTATCTCCGGTCTCAAATTCTGCAAATCCAAAGCAAAGTTGCGACTTTTAAAGATTTTTTTTTTTTACTCTTCAACGAACAAAAATGTGTATTCAAATATATATATATATTTCTACCTGTCGGACAACAGCTGTCGTCACTTCTGAGAAGCTCAGATCTGGATATGGCATGTCACAGCAATATATCTCCCAGAGGCAAATGCCAAAGCTATATACGTCACACTTCCGGTTATACGGGTTGCCATTAAGAACCTGTCTTGTAGACCATGACAGAAATAAGCAACATATATTCACATATGATGCACGTGGGTGGGTCTCATAAGTCAAAGCACATACCTCAGGTGCCATGTAACCTAGGGTTCCAGTCTCCCCGGTCATATCATTAGGATTTGAAGCTTCAACACGAGCAACACCAAAATCAGCAATCTTAAGTGTACGATTCCTGTCAAGAAGCATGTTCTCTGTTTTGACATCCCTATGGACTATCTTCTCAGAATGAAGATAGTTTAACCTGAGAATACATTTTTAACATGTTTTGTGTCAAACACATGCTGTTAACAAATACTATTTATATAAATAAAAGAGGAGTAAGCATTATGAATTTCACCCGCGTGCTAGATCCAGCGCCAGTTGGACCACAACTTTGAAGGCCAACTTCCTCCTATGGCTCTTGATGAGAAAAGACTTGAGAGTACCCCCAGGAAGGTATTCAACCACCACACAACAAAGGTTACGTGGAATGCCGATGACACCATTCTCAGTCTGTATGTTAAGATCTGGTGTGCCCATTGCAGCTCCTATAAACTGCAAAAATGTTTGGCCATTAAAAATGTCTTATATTCTTGCAACTCAAACAATTTATGCTCCATAAAAAGACTGTCAAGGCATCAAATTATAATCTCATGCCACTTCTACACATCTATATCGGAACTAAACAGCTGAGAGTAGAGCCTGATACAACTATTCAGAAAGAAAAAAAAAGGCACTGACGGCGCAGTTGGACAAACTGAAGGTTTTTTCAGGGGACCTGGGGATACGTTAAAGTTCAACAAGTTGAATTAAGCAGAGACTTCTGCACTTTTTCAAAATTTGGAAACAAGACTCTAGAAGTGAAAACTGTTGATAAAATGGAACTTATGCAAATTTTAACGAGAAAACCTTAAATATTCATGGGTCAGCAGCTTGTCAATGTGTCCGGAAATATTCATTCTTTCATCTTGGTCACATGCCTTTGATTTGCTATGAACACAAATTTATACTTCAAACACTATAATGTTGTGACTAAGTTAAGCATCAATCGACCTCCTTCATATTTCAGTTAGATATGTAGCGAAGAAAATGAAGAGTAATTTTGACAAATTTGGAACCCAAAGCTTTATTTTATTTTATTTTATTATTTTGGTTATAGGTAGAATGTAAAGCAATTTCAGCATATCAAGCCATCATTTTAGGAAAACTTGCATATGTTTACTATTTCATGGCAAATGCAGGATGACAAAAGCTGATTTTTCAATGTAATAATAATTGTAATGGCAAAATGAATAGTAGACATTGTAACGGTGAGATTAAAATATCTTACTTTTGTGACATTAGGATGATCAAGCTTGTGCCATACAGAAACTTCTTGTGTAAAAGCTGCTCTGACTGAAGAAACCTCAGCCTGAGACCTCTGGCCTTCTTCTCCCCAATCAAGAAGCTTTACTGTGGTTAAGATAAAAGCTTTTGATTAGCTAAGCATGAAACTGTGATGCCCCTCCTGAGTTCTGCACTTTGAATTATAACTTCAAAATGGATTGTGGTTGACAATTAGCCACTTTCAAAGTTGTCTTGAATAGGCTCATATTCATTTCCGATTTGGTTCAACTTTTCTTGTTTTGCCACTAGTCTAAGTTGCAATTGATAACGAATTAATGATCAATAACTTAATGAAAATAAAAATATTCAAGATCAATGTCATTCATTCATAACAATCCGGGAACAATTTTCTCGCATCATTCTCAAAAAAAGAAAAAAAGAAAAAAAAAAGAATCTATTGCATCATTTCCAAGAGTCAGCCTCTAAAATCAAGTCTTTAATACAGTGGCGGCTTGATGGAGGACGGGGCCTAAAGCTAAACCATTATTAGAGGCCTTTGGAGGTAAATATTATTAATGCTATTTCTCCCTGAAAAATAGCATAATGTTTGAAACTATGCCATAATGATTATTGACATAGCAAATGGTTGATCACAGGATTTTCTTATCATTATAAAGAATTATAGAAGTAATTATTTAAAATATACTTATTATATATATAATATGAGTAAAATTTGGGGCCCTATAATTTTCGGGGGCCTTAAGCCTTGGCTTTAGTTGCCTTGGAGTTAAGCCGCCTCTGCTTTAATAAACCGAACAAAAGTAAAACAAGGAAGCACACGATGAAAGATGCAAGTATACAGATTGAGCATTGCAGATAGCTTATTCATTTGGTAACACCTTATCCACAACAAAATCAAGGGCCATGGCCCATGACAATATATACAAAGCTAACAGTTATATTAGCATTAAGGTATGTTTACATAAATTGTAACGGAGGGAGCACAACAATTACTACTGCATCTCGATCCCAAGCAAGTTAGGATCCGGATATATAAAACGACAAATACTAGATAATTTGCTACTCCTTCCATCTCATATTAACAGTCGTACTTACTAAAAATAATTGTCTCAAATTATTTGTCATTTTAGAAGTTCGACGAAATTGATATTTTTTCTTTTTTAAACTTAGTAATAATTGTTCTTGAAGATAAAAATAACACATAAATAGAATAAATATTCAATGAAGACAAATTATATCTTTAAGACATAAATAAGTGTAGAATAGTCTAATCACTTTTCCTAATTAATATTTCTTAAAGGGCATGCAAAAGATCTATTTTTGGCTCTTTTCCTAAGAAACCTCAATCCAAAGCAAGTTTTAAGATCCATACTAAAATTAAAAGAAAAAAAAGAAGGAAATTACCAGCAACATCAAGGCCATCATAGATGCCACGATGAACAGTACCAAAAGTGCCACGAGCAATGACAGTTTTGATGATAAGCTTAGAAGGATCAATTTCCCAAGCATGTTTAATTGGGATTTCTCTACTTTCCATCCCTATTTCCTCTTTCTCCATTGTCCATGCTCTGCTTAAATGCCTCTGTAGCTGCTCGTCTATGCTCTTCAGATCTATAAGATCTGCTCTTACAAAACCCACTTCCTCCATCACTCTATTTTTCTAACTATTTCAGAAGATTTTATTGTTTACATAGAGGATTTTTTGGGACAAAACAGGGGATGAAATTAGCTATAAATTTCAGAGGAAAATGAGACTAGTGTTAGTAGAAGTAGTGGAAATTTGGGGCAACGGCCATGTCTGAAGACTACTAACTGTCACTGTTGTTTACTTGAGATTTACAGACAGGAAGACTACTATTTATGTTAGTGTTCTTCTATTTTGTTTTTCTTTTCCTTTAATAAATAATTTTGTCTTTTTTCATAGCTAATGTTAACTAGCTGCTCTTTCCTCTTATTTTTTTAGAGTTTAAAGTTATATACATTGATGCTTAAAAATAGTTATATTGATAGATTATTTATTAAATAATTATAAATACTTTCTCCGTCTAAGTTTACTTGTCCATTATACTAAAAATAAATATCTATTTTTACTTGTCCAGTTTAAAAAATCAATGCATAATTTACCATGTTATATTTATTTTACCTTTATTATTTCTTAATATTTTGGATTTATAATAGTCAAAGTTAGTTTTTCAATAATAATAATTAGGGTTGATATAGTAAAATTAGCATATTATTTATTATTTTTTAAGTGGTGTGCCAAGTTAATAGTGGACAAGTAAACTTGAACGGGGGAGTAAAATTCTTGATAAATATATAATTGGTAGCTGATAAAAATAATATTTCTAAATAACTTGTTATTATAGGTTAAAATTTACTCATAGTCCAAAAATCTTTTTATTACTATTAGTTTATATAACTTAAGTCCTTCTTATTATTATGGAAATCACAAATAAAATGAGAAAGAGTGTAATTTATTACATAAATAAGATAAGATAAGTGGCATGTTACACTGAAGGTAAAAGATTATTACAATATTAGTTTATAAGTATAATTTATTGGGAAAAAAAGAAATAAATAGAAAATTTATACTCCAAAAAGAATTATCATTTTTATCATTTTTATATTTGAAAATAATTTATCTTTAGAAGAGGGGACTAAAGAATACTGTAACTTTGCAATTAGTACATGTGATAGGTTATGTGACCTGCTATGTTTTGATGATCTAACAAACTTTAAGAACTAGATGGGAAACCTGCTCTGTATCCTCAGGTGCTCAAGAACAATAAGTCTCAAGTCGGGGACTTGTCTCAACAATTCAGAGCCAAAGAAACGATAGAGAGAATAGATGGATATCAATTCTACGGCCGCACAATTCCATGTGCGGCCCGCACTTTGCTTCATTCTTGGCAAGATTGAATCTGCGGCCGCACAATTCTGAAATGCGGCCGCATCTCTCACATTCTGCGATTCACACATTTCTTGGTGCGGCTGCGCAGAACTCTTCTACGGACCGCACATTTCTGAGTGCGGTCGCGTAGCTGACTTCTGCGGCCGCACAATAATTGTGAGGTTTGCACTCCTTCGATCCTTGACATGAACACTCTCTGAACTTCTATTCTTGGTTAGCTTCTGCGGCCGCACATTTCATGTGCGGACCGCACTTTGCACTTGTCCTCTGACATGAGTGCCTTAACAATCTGTGGCCGTAGATGGAAATCTGCGGTCCACGCTTGAGCTTTTGCGCCTGATTTTGTCCTTGAGTTCAGATCACTCCTTTTTGAGTTGGATTTCATCTTAGTGGCTCATTTTTCAATACTCCTGCAATTAAGCATATTTCATCAGTTTTCGGGAATACAATTAAATGCTTTTGGACTAAAACAAAAGCTAAAAGGCGCTAATAAGTAGTCAAAATCCCCACTTATTAACTCCCTCAAACTTAAGCTTTTTCTTGTCTTCAAGCAAATAAGATAATTCCCACCTCCACAAGTTAAGAGCTATTCCAGCTAATCTAAGATGCATCAATCATACATCAATTGGGACCAACAATTACCCACAACACTTATGAATTATCAACAAGACAATGATTTGAATTTTTAAGCACAAATAGTTCTATTGTGACACTTGTGCATCAAAATTTGACTTTATTCATAAAGGAAGCTCGCTCTTTCATGTAGGCCATTGTGGATCCCAAAACTCTTCCTCCTCTACTCTCTGTTAGCATATCTCACTTAAGAATGTAGCATTCAATTCAAAGATTTGTGAAAACTTCACTTAGCTCTCTCAATAGAATGTCACAAGTACAGCTCTAAATACCATATGCTTGCCACTCATGTAAATCTCCACTAATGTAAGTTCACTCGCTTGAAATCACGTAAGGCTTTTTCGAAATGTAATGAAGGCTTTTTTGACTAAGGTTGTATATAGTGGAATAGAACGGGTTCATCTTTCCTTAAACACTCCGTTTTCTTTTTTTGGCTCATGTTTTGTCGACTCTTTGAGGCATTTTCTTTTTCCTTAGGGGAACTAGAGAGAATTAACATCACTCTTTCTTGGTCATGATATTCCTTTTCTCCTTCTTTGTTTTTCTCCATGCTTTGCATCGTTTCTTTTCTTTGAATCCCTTCAACCCTTCAACTTATTCCCTTTCTTTTTGCATTTTTCTTTTTGTTCATTCTTTCTTTCATTTTCTTTTTGCCTTTCCTTTTACTCATTTCTCTTCTCTTTTTGTGCCTTAATACTACTTTCAAACTCCTCGTCTCTCCCCCAAACTTGCATTTTAGCCAATTGGTTCTCAAGAGTGTTAAGGAAAGCTCGGGTGCCAAGAGAGAGTCACTACAAAATGGGTAAAGGCTTGTAATTTGGTTATAAAATGAGAAAGGTTTTAGGCTCAAATGGGTTGACTAGGGATAACAACATTGGTGGGACATGAAAAATTTCAAGCGGGTCAAGGAGAGCCTACAATCACTTCTCAAGCCAAGCAAAACTTAAAATTTCGCATAGAAATACATTCGGGGCAAGTTTAGACTATTTGCACAAGTACTTGGACTTGCAATAAAAACATCACACCTCTCACATAACTTTAAAGAGGATAGAGTCGAGGTCCCACAACAACCATATTCAAGATTGAAAATCATTAATGGTTCAACTAAACCACTCGATGATTGCTTAAGTCAACACAAGAGTCTGAAGGTCACTAACTAGAGTTATTTATTCCCAAGAACTTGTTTTTAATCATAAGCACGTAGTTAAGTGTGTTGGTACCAAGTGAAGCATGTTTGACACTTCGAGTCTGAATAGTTAGGTCTTTTTATTCATTATTACTACTATTCTTACCTAAACACCACACAGACTCAATCCCTTAAGAAGGTTGTCATGTCATCCATCGTTGGGAAGAGTCACCCGATTCACACAAAAACCACATTTGGAAAGAACCATGGTATTAAGAAAACCAAAGGCTTATTGTTCACTTAAACATGAAAAGAAACTACTCGATTAAAAAGAAGCTATTAAAGTAAACAAGAAGCTATTAGATTAAACATTGACTACTAAGAAAACAAGTTAAAGAAGCTACAAAGTAAGCTACTAAAAGCATAAATGAATATACAAAATGAGAGAGATAGAAAGAGAATATATACATCAATAGAGAAAGAGAAGAATATGTACATAATGAAAAGAAAAAAGAAAAAAGAAAGTGTTATAAGTTATTACAAGCCAATGTCAATATCAAAACAAAATAAGCTCCAACATCCCCCCCCCCCCCAAGAATAAGCAATGTCCCTAATGTTTAACCAAATAAGATTAAGGAAGGGAAGCAGTAAAGATAACTTCCTATGTGACGTTGGACATCTCTGTGTCCATAGCATTGTTGCCTCACCCAGGCTCCTCCAACTGGATCTTATCATCTTCTTCTCGGGGAGTAGCTGGGTTGGCGAACATCTGTTGCACCACCTCAGCAGTGTCGGCAACCAGGTCTGGCTCCTTAGACTGGCTAGCTGGTGCCACTTGTGCTAATGGTGCTGTTGGGTCTACTGGTGTTGCTGGAGCTGTCTCCATCAGCAAATCAAATGGAAGGTCCCCAGTGGATGCTATCTTTGTTACCTCTCGTCTCAACCTGCCAAATGACTTCTTTGAGGCCTGAGATTTCCTCATATTCTTCACCTGCTTCCTAAGCTCCTCAATTGCTCCCCCATGTGCCACCAAAGTGTCCATGATGGTCTTCTGGTTCTCTATAATCTTCTTCAAAGTGTCCTCCACTATCGGAGGAATCTGGGTGTCGGGGTAGATGTCTGTGCTGCAACAACACTGGATAGGTCAGAAAACTTTACAGTAGCTGTCTACATCCAGTTGTTAAGGCTCGCCAGTGTTTGGGAGACTCACAGTGCAGAGAGTAGATGAGTAGGCATAGGCACCGGCCTCAAAGTAGAAGTGGATGTAACTAATGCTGACAACCCTAAAGATAGAGGTGGAGGCATGACAGCTGTATTGGTCGAAGGCCCGACTATAATGGAAGGCATGTCATCTTAATCTGCAACTACCCCCGAAGGCTCATTAGACTGGCCTGCGGTAGTAGTCGGCTCTTGTTCTTCGGGTTCATCGGGTCCTTCAGAGAGTACCAAGTAAAGGGCTTCTTCGCTCGAACCTTTGTGTCAAAACTCTTTGACTCCGCCCCCACATCCGAGAGATACTCCGTGATAGTGTTGGGATATGGGTAAGAGCTATCACCTTGCCTACCGACCATAGACATGTTGGCCAACATTATGGCATCCATATTGATTGGGTACCCGACCATGATGGAAGCAACTAGAACTGCCCTTGGGATTGGGAGATTGGTTTCATTCTGGCACGGGCCTAGTCGACCCCACACAAAGGTCTACCATCCTTTTGCTTCAAAGTTGAGGGTGTTCCAATGAATAGGAACCCCTACTATGATCTATGGTGGTGGTGGTGATCCTGGCTCTGCCATCATCCAGTGCAAACTTCTCCAAATATTGAACCAGCTCCACATCCTCAAACCCCAAACATGTGTTCAGGGTGCTCTGATCAAATCTCACTTTCAAATTTCTCACCTTTGTCACCTTGGTCCCCTTTTTGATATGCGCCCCATTGGCGTAGAATTCCAGTACCAAGTGCTCCTTGGCATCCACCACAATTTTAGTGAACCATGTCCACCCTTTTCTCTCCCAGAATTGTACCTATCCAAGTCTTTTAATACGAACTGACACTCAAGAGTGAGCGATCTCTGAGGCCACCACCCTCGGAATCTATTAAATGCAGTCACGCTCACGAATCTATCTTCCTAAACTTCTTTCTTCTTCGACCTCCCAAGGCCGGCAA